GAGCTTCTTGCTCGGCTGTTTCAGCTTAAGGTTCCGGGCATCAAGCCAGACCTTGTCCCCTGGCGCGAAGACCGGTGCCTCCTGCACGTGCTTGTCGTAGTACACTTTCATGCGCTCGGCTGACAGCTCGAGCGCAGAGCGCGTATCATCGCGAATCTCCTTCAGGATCTTGAGCCGATCAGCGGCCGCAGGCATCGCAGACATCGGATTGATCCGCACTTGGATCTCAGGATTGTACCCCTGATGCAGGAAGAATGGGGAGTGCCCAGTCGCGGAGTGAACTCGGTTGTTCAGTGCGAATTCCGCGAGCGGCAACTGCTTTGCCCAATCATCCTGCCTGTGGCTTGTGAAGGCACGCAGGTACTGCTCGATCTCCTGATTCCAGCGCTCGGTCTGGCCGTCCGTCTGAGGGTGGAACGCTGTAGACAGCGCTGGCTCGATCCCTAGTCCCTTGTACACCGCATGGAGATACTTCGAAGCGAATTGGGGACCTCGGTCTGATATGACCTTGGCCGGGGCCCCATGATGCTTGAACACATCGCGGATGTACAGGTCTGCCGCACCTTCTGCTGTCAGGGTCTCATGACAGGCCGAGAAGTGGACCTGCTTGGTAAAGCGGTCGGCGGTAACCAGGATCGAGTCGAATCCATCAGACTTCGGCAAGCCAATGATCATATCCGTGGTGATGATCTGCCACGGGCGCTCGGGGATCTCGTTTGGCTTCAGCGGACCCTGGGGCTTGGCTGGGAATGTCTTGGTACGGTTGCACACGTCGCAGGTGCTTACGTACTCGTTGACAAATTTGGACATCCCAGGCCACCAGTAATTCCGCGACACGAGCTCCAGGGTTTTGGCACGACCACCATGACCGGCGATCGGTGAGTCGTGGTGGATTTTGACGATATCCCGCCGGAGCTCCGTGTTCTTTGGGACGTACACGCACCCACGGAACAACAGAAGCCCTTGTTCGGCATTCCACTCCTCAAAACCCCTTTGCAGCCGGGGCGGCCCGAGGTCCTGTACTTTTTCAAGTGCCTCGGCTACCTCCCGATCTTTCTCCGAACATTCCCTGATGCGCTTCAGAAGCGACTGATCGGCCGTCACCGAGGCATGACCGCGCCGGGCGGAGGCGATGCGGAAGCGCTCTGGCTTGAGGACTATCTGATCGGTGTTATCGTCCTCATCGCCGATCTGATGGTGTGATCATCGCGACAGGGCGTCAGCCTTTCCATTGGACGTCCCGGCCTTGTGCGTGATGCGGAAGTCGAAGCGAGCTAGGAACAGCGACCATCGCGCTTGACGGCGCGTGAGATGCTGGGATGTATGCCAGTACTCGAGGTTCTTATGATCGGTCACGACCTCGAACTGATTGGGTAACCCCTCGAGATAGTGGCGCCAATCGTCCAGTGCCTCAATGATCGCGAGCATCTCCTTATCGTAGATCTCATAGTTCCGCTGCGCCGGGTCCATCGCATGTGATCTGAAGGCGATGGGATGCCATTTGCCGTCATCCTGCTTCTGCATCAACACGCCGCCAGTGGCGTACCCCGAGGCGTCAACCTCAATGCGCGTCTCCCGATTAGGATCGTACAGCGCCAAGACTGGAGTCGTTGCGAAGAGCCGCTTGAGCTCATCGAAGGCGTGCTGCTCTTCCTCGCCCCAATGCCATGGGTCATTCCCTGTGAGCCGGTCGAGTGGTCGCGAGATCTTAGCGAAGTCCTTAATGAAGCGGCGGTAGAAATTGGAGAACCCCCGGAACTTCTGAACATCTTTTTTGTTCCGGGGCACCGGCCACTCATTGATTCCTTTCAACTTCGCGGGATCCATTGCTACCTCATCGCCACCGAACACATAGCCGACGTAGTCGACTTTGGGAACGTCCCACTCGCACTTCTCAGGCTTCAGGAACAGATCATTATCCTGAAGGCGGCGCAGAACCTCGCGTGTGACCTTCTCATGCTCCTCTTTATTGGTGGAGAAGATGAGTATATCGTCCAGGTACACAAGGATCTTGCCGCCGACGATGAGATCGTGGAAGATCTCGTTCATCATCGCCTGGAAAGTCGCGGGGGAGTTGGTGAGACCAAAGAACATCACCAAAGGCTCGTACAACCCTCGGTTAGTCACGAAGGCCGCCTTCCATTCGTCACCGGCCTTAATCCGGACGTTATTGTATCCCCATCTAACGTCGAACTTTGTGAAGAGCGTAGCGCCGCGGAGCTTATCCACCATCTCGGCGATCAACGGTAAGGGATAACGGTTTTTGACGGTGATCGCGTTCAATCGGCGGTAGTCCTGTACGGGTCGAAGCGTCCCTTCCTTTTTTTTAATGAAGAAGAAGGGGGATGAAATGGGCGACTTCGACTCCCGTATGTAGCCTTTCGCTAGTTGCTCTTTTAGGAACTTGTCTAGTTCCTCCTGCTCATTGTTCGACAAGGGGTACACCTTAGAGTGGAAGGTCGAGTAGCCGGGCACGAGTTCGATCGCATGATCGTATGGCTTCCTTTCAGGTAGCCGTTCTGATGCTTCTTTGGAGAAGACATTCAGGAACTCGTGGTACTGTTTAGGTACCGACTCCTCGGCGGTCTTAACGACCTTCTTTTTGATCTCTTCCTCAGCAAACAGCTGGGAGTACGTATGTCCTGCTGCGACGAACAGCTGAGGAGCGCCGGGAAGCGTGACACCTTGCTCCCAGGCTTCGATCAAATCGGCCTCATCCCACTCTACCTCCACCGGATCTTCTTCGGGTTCGAAGTCCGGGAGTACCTTACTCCGGCAGGCACCTATGACCGACCGTTTGGACTTCGGCGAACGCCTGCGCGCCGTGGGCCTGACCCCCGTATCACGCGCAGTCGCTGCTTGCTCCATTCGGCCAGTCCTCCTGGCGCTACACGTTTCAGGGCATCGCGACAATTTGAGGGAGCCCTTCTCCCAATCGATCTCAGGGTTGTGCTCACGCAGCCAATCTAACCCAACGATCACATCTTCTGGACCGATGTCCGTGACCGTGAACACCGTTTTCTCGACATGCTCTCCTATATGCATCTGTAGCACTGCTACCTCCGAGATGCTTCCGTCCTTGTTCAGGGTGCCGTCAATATTGTACAACGGAATTGGTTCTTTCAACTTCCGCGTTTGCACCTTATTTTCTATAATGAATCGCTTGTTGATAAACTTCGTGGTGGCTCCGCTGTCCACCATAGCGATTACGTCCTTGTGCCGTCTTTTTCCTTGAAGTCGAACTGGAATGTGAAAGTGCTGGGACCCCTGGTCCAACTCATACACCATTGCAGTCGACAATACATTATAACGATTACATGATATACCCGGCCCGACGCGTGCGGCACGAAGCGCGGACCGGATCAAAAACCCTCCTCCTTCATCGCCCGATAGTGTTCGAGCTCCTCGCGCATCGACTTCACCTGTGCCATTAAGTCCGCCAGCTCCGATTGCTCGGATTTCGCTGAAGCGGCACTTATACTTGCCGAGGGTGTCGTCGTGATGGGGGCACTTGTCGCAGCCTGGGTGGAGCCCGAGGCAACCGTAGCCCGCGCATCGGCGCGTTTTGTGTAAGGCTTGTCCTTACAATTGGGGCACTCGAAACGTCGGTACCCTTGCTTCCCACAGCCGAAGCATGTGCCGGGGAAGTTGCCTTTTCCGACGGCCGCATTGATGCTGGCTGAAGCTGCGTGTGACTGGGGTGCACCACCACGTGCCCCACCACGTCCTCGACCTCGGGCCGAGAAGAAATTGTTCAGCTCAGGCCGACGAGCCCGGCTGATGTCGAGGATTTGCTTGACCTCAGTGGCGCGCTTCTCAGCTGCTTGTCACGTGGTGAAGGTTTCAAGCTCGATCTTCCGGTACACGCGGGAGGGGATGCCACTCAGGTACTTGTCGCGTAGTTCCAGGTCCCCATACCCGGAACGGTCCGCCGGACCCTTGAACAGCGCGGAGAATTCCGCGGCAGTGCGTTTTTCGCGGACCGATTTGTCCGCGCAGAGCTTCGCTAGCTCTACTTGTGCCGCTGCCTCGTCGTCGAGATTTCCGAAGCGGGCCCTGAAGGCGGCGGCAAAGGCCGCTTCGTTTGCGAACGGGGTCGTAGCCCCTTGCACACCCACCTGCACCGATGCGAGCTGGGCAAAGTAGGGAGTGGCCCACGCGCGGGCATCTCCATCGAGCAGGCTGAGTGCGACCTGCACCTTAAGCTCGACGGTGGTCAACGACGTGTTGACCAGCCAGTAGATGCGCAACTGCGACAGGAACCGGTTGCATTCGATGACTGTTTTGCCATCGTATCGGAGTGGGAGAAGGAGCTTCAAAGTCTCCTTGTCGGGGGCGGCTGCAGGGGACGACATTATCGGCGTCGGGGGGGACGGAGGACGCTGCGGGGGCGGAGGCGGCTGTGGTGGCCCTCCGCTGGTCGAACTTTGAGAGGAGCGAGTGCTCGAGCGGCCTCTCGGTGGAGTCGGCGGTGAAGGCGCCGAAGGAAGTTCGGTGGGGGGGTCACGTACGTCAGGGACTGCTGACGCGGGGGCGAGCGCTGTCGGCGAGGCGGACCCAGTAGAATCCTCGGACTCGGACTCCGAGATTCCTTCTTCACCTGTACCCTCCTCAGGCTCAGGCTCTGGCGCAGGGTCTGGAGGGAGTGTCGCGACTTGAGGTCGAGCGACTGGAGAAAACCTTGAAAGGCTGGGGGCGTCCGACTAGTTCTTACCGAAGCGATGGTGAGCAACGCTCAAACCTAAGGCTAGGGACAAGATAGTATATTAGTTAGTAAAGGTAAGTAAGGGATACAAAGGGAGGCTTACTGACCTAGGGACAAGAGGTCGAAACTGAGGTCCCTAGGGCAGCAGAGGCCGGCTTATATACATGGGGAATTTAGGGCAGGCTGTGCACGTTGGTCCGTGCGCAGCTGGTCTGTGCGCAGCATGCCGACGCGGCCCCGGGGGCCGGTGAGTCAGAGCTGCTGTGTCAGCGGGGCCCGAGCTGTGCCGTGCGCTGCCGCCCCATCTAATCTAATCGTACAGTAGATAGTGACGCGTCCATATCAGGCAGGTAGTACAGAGGTCGCGGGTTCGAGCCCGCGAAAAGGAAAAAATTAAAAAACGGCTAGACGCCGTGCCAACTCGTGACAGGGAGATCTCCTCGAGTTTGACTGGACTCGGCGACAGTTTGGGGGAGGACGGGGAGGTGCGCGTACTACAATGGCCGTGCTATGCTAGCTTACGCTACGGCGCCCAAGAAGACACTAGGGTTCGCAGTTCACGTGGGGCCCAGTACTGCTTTTGACTATTATGCAGCAGGAACCTAGTCCACGCGTCCGTGAGGACAAGTACCGCCCACTGAAGTGCAGGTACTGAAGAGTTCGTTCCCTTAGTGTTGGCGATGTATGTAGGGCTATCTACGTATTGTATGTATCGTAGAGTATCGTAAGGGTGCGCACCACCCGACCTGTGGGAAAGGAAAGTGAATATAGGGTGTCCCGAGTGGACGCCGGCAGCTTGGGGAGTTTCGACCTAATGTCGCGACTTGAGGTCAAGCGACTGAGGAAAAATTGAATGCTGGGGGCGTCCGACTAAGTCTCACCGAAGCGATGGTGAGCTACGCTCAAACCTAAGGCTAGGGACAAGAAAGTGTATTAGTTAGTATGAGTAAGTAAGCAGATACATGAGTGCTTACTGACCTAGGGACAAGAGGTCAAAACTGAGGTCCCTAGGACAGCAGAGGCCGGCTTATATACATGGGGAGATAAGGGCAGGCTGTGCGCGTTGGTCCGTGCGCAGCTGGTCCGTGCGCAGCATGCCGACGCGGCCCCGGGGGCCGGTGAGTCAGAGCGGCTGTGTCAGCGGAGCCCAAGCTGTGCCGTGCACTGCCGCCCCATCTAATCTAATCGTACAGTAGATAACGACATGTCCATATCCGGTATGTAGTACAGAGGTTGCGGGTTCGAGCCCGCGAAAAGGAAAAATTAAAAAACGGCTAGACGCCGTACCAACTCGTGACACCGCCATTGCAGCGTCGTCCCATCCAGGCGGCGCACCTTCAAAATGACACGCCGGGCCGTCCGAGCAGGCCGTCGGACCATCCAAGGCATCCACGCGGGTCCCAGGACCATCGAAGCAGGCTGGCGCGTCCTCCAACGAGGGCACCATCAAGTCACAAAAGGACTTAGACAGGCGCAAGTTCGGCCTCGAGTTCCTGCACCCGGATTGGAGGAAGAAGCTCTCGTCGACAGACAAGGCGGGCGTCATCAGGTTCAACGTGAGGGAGATGGAAGGTAAGCAACTCACCTCTCAGTGAAGTGGCGTCACACTGACGATCAGCCAGTGGCCGCCGGTGGCCCTTGGGAGCGCAAGTATAACAACCTGTTCCCTTGGAACCACCATGCCGAGCTCTTGGTTACTCAAGGGCTCGTGTGGAAGAACTACCCTGACGACGTGTGCTAGCCAGGCGAGGAAAAAACCGGTGGCCGCAACAAGGCCAAAGGGATTGCGGAGCTGTCCATGCCGGAACTCGACCGAATGATCGAGGGCCTGGTGGACAGGGACTACCCTTTCGAGTTCGAGAGGGTCGACAAGGAAG